GACGAGAAATGATGAACTATGTCATGATTTAAAAGTATGTAACAGAAGTTTAACAGTCTATGGAATTATTTTTACTCGAGTGTCTGAACTAGTTGGCACCTATGTCTGGTTGCGTTTATCCAGTGCAAGTTGTTAGATGAAAAAGAGTTACGTTGAATCGAGTGTTATCAGACAAGAATATTCGGTTGATAAATGAAGTCACTAAATGTGCCTATAATCCATCTGAGAAGCTGTTTGCTTTTCGCGCCAATGCCGATAATTTAGTAAAAATTATTAATTATGTACTTCAAATGACATACGTCTAAAATTAATCGTTGTTTCACAGATACATCTATCTTGTTCGAATCCTAACGAATGACCAGTATGTGAATGACTTGTCTTCTTTTTTACTGTTGCACCTTATACAAATGATTCGGTTTAAAGCAATGTACTATGCCTATTAACTGATCATTAATGATTGAAGCAAAAGTTGAAATTAAATTGCCAATAAATAGAGTAGTACAATTCATACTCATCACCGGGAATTTCAAGGTTATGGAATGACTATTTCGGACTTATATCCATGGAGATAAAGAGAAGCCTCTAAAAACATATGATCCTGAACAATCTATATCTGGTCTTGTACTAATGAGCACTAAATATTTCAACTACTTGAAATTAACTAGCGTTACAATTATGAAAATCATCATCGGACCTCCTTAAAATCTGGAACTTCACTTATCTTTTCCTAGGTAAATAAGAAAAATCTTATATACTATATATATGAGATACATAACCAGTGAAACTAGGTTAAATAGTAGCACTTCAGACCCCATAGTTTGAGTACAGATTCAATTTAAAATCCATCAAGTTTCAAAAACATGTGCTTTCATAGAAATAGTAGGATCAAACTGCTTAATTCCAGGTGGTTAGTAGTAGTTGATATAAATTTAGGTATATGTTCAAGAAACTGTTAACCTCTGTGGGATTTGAATCCGGATCACTTTGTGTCTCAATCACGGATGTTAATATTAAGTTATATGTATTGTAAATGATCTGTCATGGTACTAAGTTATTTGAATTAATCTATGCTTTTGTAGTAACCAATTTCATGTCATATTCTCCTAAGTGATCAATGAACTCTATCAACTAAAACCGAAATAAGAACAAAATTAATTATAAAACAGACGATGTTTCTCATCAATATTCATGCAGAAAACCTACCTAATTGAATTGACAATATGTTACAAAAGCATATCATTTAGTCTCTAGCTTAAAATGAAACATCTATCACTGACTTATTATCTTCATTTTGGTAATAAAAAGAAAGACCTCACACTCCATCTTAAATGAAGTAATATGAATATGCTTTAGTGGGGCCCTTTATTTTGTCGTCATTTAGATCGGACAATGTTTTTTGACGGGCTCTCCACTTTAGTGGCCCGAGATCTGACTCCAAGTAGATCGTATGAATGATTGTTATTGAATGATTCCTATCGAATGTATATGTCGCCTATCCTCGTATATAATCATCGACTTAATTCGCGTTAGTCAGTAACGGAATTAAATAAGTCAAATAACGAAAATGGAGTTTTGAATACATATTATTTTGTATATGAAGCGAACAGAATAGAGAGAAGCAAAACGACTAGCAATGGTGATGGCTTGTAAGCCAACTCCCATTTAACCAAACGTTAACCAATAGTTATAGTTACACAAAAATAAGTAACAAAAATGTGATAAGTAATGGGATGAGAAGTGTTAACACACACACATACACTCATATAAAAACAGTCAAGATTGATAGGCGAATAATTAACAAGGTCAAAATATGACTCAAGTAGAAGTAGTAGATTGGCCTGTCCGAAAGCTAGAATAAGGTATATGGGCTTAAGATAATAACCGACACTACAATACACAATTTGGTAAGTTGAACGAGCTCTTGTACACAAAGTTTTTTTTATTTTATCAACCACAAACTTCTTTAATTTCCCTATCCTTGAATATAAATTTTGTAGGTGACTGTATTCCATTGAATGGAGTTTGTACAAAAACTATATTTGCTCCATGCTGTAATAATACAGTATGTAAATTGTCTGGGCCATTCTCTGGTAAATGTGTGGAATGCCTTAAACCATTTTCATGGTGTTGGAATGGTGATGAATGTTGTTCAAAACAATGCAGTTGGTTCAGATGTTTGAGTACTGTCGAAGAATAAACTAAACATAATTCATTATCTCTTGTCATTTTGTTTATTGTAATGATGATGACTTACTATCTAATGATTTATTTTATTTAATAAAATGTATACTTTAATATTAATAACTATCCTTTTTTGATAGATGTAATAAGTAATATTCTCCATAAACGTTGATGATTAGGTCATCCAATTCGTTAATGTTCTTCATATTATGAAAGATAGAAAAATGGCGTTCTTAATTCTTAACTTAGATATAATTCATCGGAAGGCACTCGACATAACGACTTAAATATGAGTTCCGTTCTAGTTTGTACATACAAAAAATAATGGTGTACAAACTTGAGGAAGTTGGTTCTCTCGGTGGAATTTTGACAAGCTTGTACAAAAATTAATAGAAAGTCATATGATACATATAAAAAGTCGCTTTATTACAGAAAAAAATTACATGATAAATTCCATCCTACTGAACTGAATTTTGTGGATGTTACCTCCCCCAACTCAACCACGAATAACGAGTTGTGATTAGAGGAAATCAGATGTCATCACCTATAACAATCGACAATTATGAATATAAATTCAATGTGAGTGAATGTGCAAATATTAGGTAGAGACAACCCACATGTTACATTCGACGAGTTCAGTATTAGGTTAAACGTGCAGCATATCGGCATATCTTCACAATTTATTCTGTATAACATACTCATAAATATTAGACCATTAAATTAATCAATGGGATCTGACTAAAAGTATTAGATTTCAACCGTTATAAGGAAACATTTCTGACTTTTTTAAGATATTTATGTTGTGAACTAAAATGGCAATAAAATTCCACCTAAGTAATGACTTAATTCGGTGATCCCAACTAGTCACTCCACCTTGGCTCCTGACCTAAAGTCAGGCTTGTGATGACCGAAGCAAGATTAATTTGTTAGAATAGTTTTTACCTGCTGTCCTAAAAGGCCACATAGATCGTCTAAAGAGCCATAGAACTAAAAGCCTTTAATGTAACACTTGGAAGTAAAGTTGTATTTCTAACTAAATCAAAATATGGCAACAGTAGTGTTTCCCTCAAAAACTAACATTTTAGAGTTTATTTTCTAAGACAAAATAATGGATCATAAACAATCAACTCTAAAATCAGCACACTTTTGTTGTATGACATATCATTGACGATTCAAAAGTCATCTTTATCACCAGAAACCCAAAGGACCTCTATCTACCCAGCTAAATGGAAATTATCTACAAAATAAATGATGATGAACAGTACACATCTAGGCTTTTATCTAATCTTCAACTTCCTTGTCAACACAAATGAATCCGATATTTTAACTCTTCCATTCTTCAAATCATTATCATTATCACATGTTCTCGTCTAAAAATATTTCACGTTACATAATGAGATTGTCTTAATATTATAGAATTACCACCTTAAGCAATTATAAAAGAAGCCCCTTTAAAACTCTAATTCCTAAGTTTTTTTCACACTATATAAAACATAGTCCTGATTGATAGATAATTTATTTCTCAATAATATCCAAATATTATCGAAATTACGAATTAAGTTAGACAAATACCGCGAAAACCATGGGTCACTCGATGGCCATTTCGTAGCAGCATGGGATTCCTCATCTGAAGTGCGGATCCACAATTCCGCAACCGAGAATCCAATCCAAGACCTTCAATTTCATGATTTTAATAAAATCCAATAATCTCCACAATCTCATACTGACAACATACTATTAATTGGAAATAATTAAATATAATAACTTGTGTGTAATTGAACAGAAATAAATGAAACATTAGTTCTTGATTTATTTAAATTTATTAGACAAAAAGATAATGAACTGCTTTCGATAACATGCTTCTTTATCATAATTCCACTTCATCACGAAGCATCTTTATTATAAAAAAGGATTATGATTCCAGATAATATTCTATGTCATATAAACTGATTATGACATTCCATCTTGACGCTAAGGATTAGATTATATGATATTAGTTATTATGACGTAGTCAGATAATAGGATGAGTCACAGAGCATGGCATCGCCACTGACTGACACTACGTTATGCTCATACGGAACTCACATATCGTAGATGGCGAATGCCTATTGTCGCGAAACCTAAGTCTAACACTGCTTTATGAGTCGGTGAAAACCCCTAATGTAGAAAACGTGGTTAAAACGAACAGTATTAGTATCGCTTGATACTTTGTACTACTTTCCTTATGACTGATAACTATTAAAACTTGTTTAACCAAGTTTGTAGCTACAAGCTATGAATATTCACAAACTGACATTCATTTTTCACAAAGAAGTTGAATGTTTAGCATTATATTATTTGAACTATTATCACTTTGTTTAAGGTAAATCATGATACTTGTATCTATTAACCTATTTTAAGTTCGAATTTCATTAGTTCGTCAAGTGTTTTAGTTAGTATGTGGGTTCACAACTGAATAACTCCAATAATTCAACTGTATGAGAACTAAGTTACGAAACTAATTTACAAACTTCTTTATGAAACACTCAACTATTTTATATTGTAGTTGTACACAACTGGCTTTTATTACTTTCGTAACTATATAGTAGTCGACAAATTTTTTTACATCAAATGTCTTACATTTTTTTACAAATCAAGCGAAAACGATTGTAACGGGAAAGTATTTTTTCATCTTATTGAACTGTCCCGTATTCAAATAAAATTACTTTCATTTCTTTAAACTATACTAGAAGGACTTTTCTCATTCAAGTAGAGCGAAATGTGCCCCCATATTGTAATGTTGTTAAGTTACTGAATAATAGAACAATATATCGCTACCATTGTGTTTGTAGAAATAGAAAGTTTTCAATATGGTAAGTTACATGTCTATATAAATTATATAAAAGTGTACTACATTTCCTTAACATATAGGACTATATACTTCCAACTTATCAATACATATACCCAAGTCTTTAAAAACATTTTCACATTGTATAAGAAATAAATTATAACAAAAAAATACTATGATCAACCACAGTTGTTTCTTAATTTTATTAATCTTAATATGGTATTGGAAATTAGATGCTTTTACAGGTAAGTGATGCTTATATTCTTGTTGTTCCATGACTGATCATTGTCGTTCGATGCAACATCCAAGTACGAGATGGTGGAGAAGATTTGTAGCTTAGGTGAATGATTTCGATGTTGTTTTGTTCTGTGAGCTGGATGGTTTGGTCGTGGAGCTTTTGTCGTCTTCTATCTGAAGTTTGTGCTGATGATGTCGTTCAGAAGAACGCGGTCCTTGATTTGCCAATCCTAGCCTTTACGTCTGCATCAGATCCTCCACGTTCATCGATGATGCTTCCTAGGTACGTGAAAGACTCCAGATCTTCCGAAGTCCCTCCATAAAGTGTGGTTGGGTTCGCGTTCTCTGTGTTGTATTCGACGATTTTGCTATTCCTTCGTGTATGTTGAGATGTACAGCTGCAGAGGCTTCTGCTACACTGACTGCTTCTACCTGCTTTTTTTATATGTATGGGATAGGAGATCTAGGTTATCTGTGAAGTCCGAATCGTCTGGTTGCATTCAAACTGTCCACTGTATTCCATGCTTCCTCTGAGATGTGAAAGTCTTCGTAATCCAATCAATCACCAGAAGAAGGATACCTTCAAGTTAGACGAAATAAAATATAAGCGCATAAACACCAAACTTCTTTAATTATTTACACATATTGGTCGCTCATTAGTAATGAATATCATCTAGTTTTGTCTGCTACTGATGTTTAAAATCAATCGAGTTGGATTGTTACATGACCACCAGCCTTAGTGACCTGAAATTTCAAAACACTTTATTTTACTTTATGTGATTTTAAGGAATCTGTATTAAGCCAAACATCTTGTATTAGTTGGTAGTCTACAAGGTTTAATTGCAATCATGAGGGAATTTTCGCTTTCATAAGATTTAAATTCACATCTTTTAACTTAGTGTTGTTGTTACTAAGATAATTCAGTTACAAGTGATCTGTTAATTTAACTAGTTTATTAAAAGTGATCGATCACTACGCAATCGTTTTCCAACCATTTATTATATTTCATCTGTATTCCTTATTACAGTAACCTTAGCAACATCTAATATACATGATAAATACTGTTATTCATTTGAAACTCGAAGGAGATAATTAGTCATTTATGAACATTTTTACGCGTTCTAACTGTGTAACTAAGTTATTTGAATTATAAATTTTGTAAATAAAACGAATATCGACTATTGGTAAGTGTGTATTTTCAATGTACTTCAATATTCAAATACTTCATTAAACTAACTTCTAGCATAATACTCAGGATGGTTATGGTTACACATGCTGGTAACTTAGTTCACGTGAAAATGTTTGTCAAGCCTAGTAAATGAGAAATTATGAAAACTACAAAACAAATATAGAAAAGTACATCAGTATTACAGAGCTACTACAATTTAACCTTAACCGATTTATGTTACAATGTGTGTTGACATGTAATTTTCTCTTTAAAGTTTTTACCAGGAATAAAATGGAAAATTGAAATTGTTTAGTGAAATCAAGAAACCTCATTTTAGTCTATGTAGAATAATGATGCTACAAGCTAGTGAATTACTAGCCATGCTTAACTCCCTTTTATTAGTTTGACAAGAGAACGAGTCAGAAAGTAAGCTTATTAATATCAAAATATCAAGGATGTACTATTCAGTTTTACTCTTGTTTTTCTCAACACAAGATTAAACAATTCAGGAATTTTTATGCTCAACCTCAAAAACTATTACGATTAACTATTAACTTTCCTGTTAACTGAAGGTTTATTAACTGTTTGTATTAATCTTAAAGGGGATTATATCAAAGGAATAAATTATGTAATTTATTTCTGAACATCATCATTTGTAACCCAGAACCTATCGGTCCTCGTGTGCGAACGCTTTACCTCTATACCACTGGGGTCCTAGGTTCCAATCCCTCGGGGTGGGATCATGAATGAGCCTTGCTGAGGAATCACATACTGAGACAAAAGGGCCGTCTAGTGCTTCTAGGTATTCCATGATGATCTAGCTTTAATTGACTCATGAATTCAACTATTAAATTACTAAAATCTCCACAAAACCCCTCTCTGATAATTATCATTTACATTAAAACTCTGTTTTATTAAACTATCGAATTTCACAAAAAATGGACAGTAAAGTATCACCATAATTTTCAACTTCAAAATAGATGTAAGACTAATAAAATACTTCACTTTATAAAACTTTAAGATGAACAATGTATTTACCTAACCATCAGTTCTCTTAGATTTTGTATTCTATCCTTGTTGTGAATTAATATTGAATGAATAAGTATCTAATGGCATATCATTTCACTAAAACATTAACCTAACGAATTACTCCAACATTTGAAGCATTGGAAACTGAGTTAGAGCTTTATTATAAATATAAACATGAATGTAGGAACATTTATCTGACAAGTCTGATGAGAGAGAATCACATTGACCACGTCCAGAAACAACTTATTTTTCCATTATCACAAAATGTATTTAAATCAAATGTTTCATAGCTTAGATTCGTTATACTTCTTATACTGTTATGAATGATAAAGTTTCCAAGTATATTTACACAGCCATAATTAATCCCTATTGCATTTATGTGAAGTATATCAGAATAATAAACATTAGTATTATAACACTTATTAACTGGTATGTTATCACGAATCAGTGATAACTATACAGTTGTTTATACCTAGTTTGAAACCTTTTAGAAGTCTACACAAAACAGAACCATAGAAATTCAATTTCAGGAAAGAACACGATTTATTTGTATTTCTGGTTCTAAATGTATTAGTTCATATGTTTAATCTCATTCAGCTTGTTATCTGAAAGTGAGTTATATCATTAGTAAGTTATAACCTCATAGCTGAGTTTTTGATGACTCATAAACTGGAGTGAAGCTATTGATGAATGCTCCTATGACTTACACAACATCTACATCTAATGTTAATCTGTAATTAACATTAATTTTAAGATGAAGAAAGCCTTCGAAAAACTCATAATTTAATGGATTTATCCGACAAATTACAACTAAACATTCATATCATTCAACCTGTGATATTGATTATTTACGTTCTCTTTTTTCTTCATAGGTCGTTGTAAACCTGAAGGAGAAAATTGTACCAAAACAATATTTTCACCATGTTGTGCAAATTCCACATGTCAACTTCATGGATTATTTAAAGGAGTTTGTGTAAAATGTTTACCTGAGAAACATTTGTGCTTATCCAGTAGTGAATGTTGTACAAAATTATGTAGTTGGTTTCGATGTATAATGACAAATTAGATATAAACTGATTCATTCATTTACAATTGATGAATATTCTTACACAAGTAAATTGACTAGTAATCTACCAAAAAAATATAAGTTTAAATGTTCTTAAAACTTGTTTAACCACAATGAGTTCATTTATGGTTATATGACACTTAAAAACACACTGTAATAATAATAATAATAATAATAATAATAATAATAATAATAATAAATGTTTAAGTAAAAATGCATAACTACTGAAAGATCCAAGAATAGGACTGAATCTTAAATTGTCTTCCTCTTTCAAGATTATATCTAGAGCATTAGCTTCAAACATATAATAGTGAAACATTGTGAATGTGTTATCGCATCACTTTGACAAGTGACTAAATCATAACTTGATCAATATAACTCATTAAGTACTAAAGAAGAGATAAACATGCTTATTATACAGTCACTAATCAACACGAATATCAACCGATGATTTTGTATATGCGTAACTTTCAATGTAATATTGACTTTTATTTTAAAAATAGCCTTGACATCTGAAATATTAAACTAATTCCATATGAGAGAAAACTTTCACTGTTTTTTTTTTGCAACTCATTGTAGCTAATTTCCTGACATTAATTAAAACTCTTTTGACTTGTCTGTACCAGTCTTGTGATAAATGATTCATAATCAACAGTAAACGATCAAATTTCCATTTCTCGTCGATAATCATAGACTTAACAATATAAGTACCTTTAAGTAAAATGTCACATGGGACATATGTTTAGGTTGGTTAGTCTTTGAACTCTTACTTCTACGAATTGGAAAGATCACAGCTAAATTAATTGAAAGCCGATCACAGATTTCAGTAAGTAGATTTCATTATAAATCTTATTCAAGTAAACTTATTAACTGTTAAAAGTAAATCTCTTAATATCTGTTCATTTCAAAAGGTTTACGATGAACAGAATATCTCGAACAAACTTCGACTTTACTTACCTTTAATGTGAAATAGATTTTTCTCAATCTAAAATTATGATCATTATATCTTCGTATATTGCCTTTTATTAATATTGATGGGAATGACAAAATGTGTATGCCTCAAAAGCAAGAAACTTCACACCATTTCCTATCTATAACCTGTTCCGTTTAGTTTCATATTTTCTGTACTAAAACAACATATATAAGCGAACAATAGTGTTCTCAATTAGATCGTTATCAGGCTTTAACGGAATATACATGAATATTTACATGAGACTACTGAACCAATAAAGGCAATTTATGAACCAAATATCACAATGAACTACACGGCATAACCAAACATAATAATCAGTCTCGGGTTGTGGAGATTGAGTTTGATAGTTATCATGGACCGATCAATGTTGGACCACCACTGAAAAATGGGAAGCATCAGTTAGTGGAAAGAACTACTTTTCAAGTACATATAATATAAAGACTTTAGACTTAGACAATTATCGGTCTAGAAGTTAAGAGTTCACGCGCGAGACCGGTAGGTCCTGGGTTTGAATCTCGCGAGGCGAGATCGTGGATGAGCTCTGCTGAGGAGTCCCACAATGGGAATGAAACGGCCGTCTAGTGCTTCCAAGTTTTCCATGGTTGTCTAGCTTCAGTTGATTGATGATCTCAACTACTAAAGTTACTATAATATCTACAAAACCCCTTTTAATGTTAATTATCATAATGATTATTCTGAACTAAAACAAAAACAAAATGAGCTCCCATAAACTATCTTACTGAAATGATCAATTAAAATAATCAAATTACTTACCCAATGATTAATCACAGAACTTTTGACTTTTATTTTAAGTTACTGATAAGTAGTGTATACTGTCAAACTCGAAATGTTTTACAGAAAAAAAAACAAGTTATAATGCATTACAAATTATATTCTTTAAAAAAAGTTTTCAGAATAACCGATCGCTTCCCAAATATTGATTGATCAAACAATAATGTTTATAAATCCCCACATGTAAACCAATTACAATACCCTGAACAACATTCTGAATGTTTCCAACATCTATTTCCTGAAGTTAAACATTCCACACATTCTCCATAAAATGGTGCACTTAGTTTACATACAGTACCATCGCAACATCTGTCAAAAATAGTTTTTGCACATGTTTCACCAATTGCTTTACAAGCATCTGAAAATATGCAGAGAAATAAGACATCAGTTTTTAATTTGTATAAGTAAATAAATAAACCAAATAGATCAATTGTAATACTTAAGTTATTCTGATGCAGCTTGGAATGTTCCCAAGTTAACTGATACAATGAAGAAATCATAAAACCTTCTATGAACAGGCGTACTTTTCATCTTCATGTGATTAATTCATAACGAGTATCAAGGATAACTGAACGTAACCATGAAAAATGTGCTGTAAATTTTCCAGTATGGAGTTTGTGGAGATTGTTAAGTTTTTCTATTGAGATCATGAACCAATTGATTTTACACCACCGTTGAAAACCTGGGAGAACCGGACGGCCGTTTCGTCCTAGCACGGGACTCCTCAGCAGTGCGCATCCACGCTCCCGCTACCCGCGGGATTCGAACCAAGGAATTATCGGTCTCGCGCCAGGCGCTTAACCAACTAGACCACTGAGCCGGCATCCGACGGTGTTAGTGTCTAACATTAACCAATCCACGAAATTGCGCGGCCAAATTCCATTGTACTGAGGTAGATACTTGTCCAACGGTGATCTAACATCAGTTGGTTCATGATCTCAATAAAAAAAACTTAACAATCTCCAAAACCCCCATACTGATAGTTAACATGTGCTCACTAGTGACTAGCTTCGTGAGGAAATTCCCGGAGTTCTAGCGAGACGCCGTGATCAGTGGAGCTAATCTGTGTTGGGTAGAGACAGGTATCTACCTCAGTACTATGGAAGTTGGTCGCGCAATTTCGTGGATTGGTTGATGTTAGACACTAACACCATTGGGTGCCGGCTCAGTGGTCTAGTTGGTTAAGCGACTGGCGCGAGACCGATAATTCCTGTGTTCGAGTCTCGCGGGGGGGCGAGATTGTGAGTTCTCATTTGATATAAAATTCATAAACAATCATCCCAGTTGAGCTACTTTTAGAATAAACCATTTTAATACTGATTTTGACTATTTAACTAGATAGTTAGATATAAAAGTAACATCAACATTGAATACGATGTTAACGTACCAAAATTATTCTATTTCATGAACATCCAGATGACGTCAAATTTGTTACATTTTCCTGTATTTATCCTAATGAAAAGTCTCTAGCATATTTGACATATTCTAAACGATACATTCGTCAATCTACCATTACTTCAGTTCTAGAAAATTCCCTAGCGTAAAAATTACTTTTACTTATTCTTCATGATCAAAATCAATCTTCAATGTCAGAAGCCAAACAGCTTAAACATTTACTCATAATGATATAAACGTCATGCTATTTGAATCGGCTAGGAACTATCTAGATTTAACAGTTATATGTATAATACTCTAGGTGTTTATAGCGAAACGTACTGGGTTCGACACTCAGTGTAGTCAGAGATTATTTACCTGAAAAATCTCAGATATGATAAAATAGCTAGCTACAAACCATTTATTCTAGATAACTTGTGATATGATGATTACACTTATGGAATCCTTACAGAGTGCATATATGTCAAAACGATTGACTGAACCTTAGTCTTGAATATCGACAACGCGATCATTTAAACCATCATTAATAATATTGTGGTGTGTGTTACTGATGTCAGCAGATGTAAGTAGTATATACCACTAATCAAAAGTGGAATGTCTGGTGGCAGGGGGTTAAGAAAATCTAAGAGGAGAAAACGAAGGAACAACAAAGTCTGAGACGATTGATGAGTGTTTTGCTAATGAAGTATTTACTGTATGGTTCTCAGATTACATCAAGATATTCTATAATGTTGCATTAAAATATATTTGCTTGTCCACAATGTTGTTCTCGTTCGCCACAATATTATAAGCTATTTCTATATTTGGTAATGTATTTCACACAAATAAAGTTTAGTTTTGACAAAACTAAATATTAATAACGGCAGCCCATGTATTGATAATCTAGTACCGATTAACAGGGTGAACACTTCAACCTCTTTAGAGCTATACACTAGCAAACAAAACATTTCTGCTGAAATCTAGTCACCATCTGTAATCAAACAAGTCCTTTAATTAAAACATTTAAATGGATTCTACCGAATGGTATCTTTTATCCAAGGCATTTATAATCCAAAGAGTTTTTCACCAAATTGACAAACTTTAGACATCCATTTCAATTACATTTAAGCTTGAAATATTAAGTGATATTTTTTGAATAATAGGCAGTGTAATGACCATTATAACTATCATGATTAAATACAAATATCAGTATAGGGTTGTGGAGATTGTTGAGTTTAAATTGATATCGTGTATGGATCAATGTCAAGCCACCATTGAAAACCTGGAAGCACTGTGAATGCTCATTGCTGAGTCCCATACTAACACAAAACGGCCGTTCAGTGCTTCCACGTCTTCAATGGGGGTCTGACATTGATCCATTCATAATATCAATCTAAATACAAATATATTGCAAAGCTAAATAGACATGTTTTTTTCTAAGTATTGAGGTGTATTTAGCCAACATTTTTAAAAAGGACTTCAATATTTCTTTTATATTTTACTACTTGGTTTAAATATCAACTAGTTATTTGATGATAAAGAACATGAATTTCCATAATGATAGTTTAACTTATAAATACTATTAAAATTGCTTCATTGGATTGTTTAATGCTTTGTTAATTAATCCTACGAATGTCTTATAATATATCGATCTACATTTCTGTTACAACGTAAACAAAACTTTCTCTAAGGTCTCATATGTGATACTATGATTCAGTGATATGTAACAGATAAATAGATCATACCATTGTGTCATTATATTGTTTAAATCATATTTATTAATTATACTTCTTAGTTAAATTCATGAGTCAATAAAAGCTAGACCACCATGGAAATCCTGGAAGCACTGAATGGCCGTTTCATTCTAATATGGGACTCAACAATGGGCATCCACAATCCCACCCGCGGGATTCCAACCCAAGACTTATCGGTCTCGCGCGCGAACGCTTAACCTTTAGACCACTGAGCCGGCTGGCATCCAAAGATGTTAATGTCTAACTAGGATGAAACGGCCTTCCAGTGCTTCTAGGTTTTCCATGGTATTCTAGCTATAATTGACTCATGAATCCAACTATTAAGTTACTAAAATCTCCACAAAACACCCTTCTGATAATAGTTATATTTCTGTTAAGGAAATTTTTTGTTGTTAAGCTAACAACAAACTAAAGTAACAACGTTATCAATACTAATCTGCTTATTAATGAAATACTGAAGATTAATGATAGATCTCATTCCACTTCATAATTTAGTATTATTTTAATTTGGTAATGGTAAATAAATATCTGAAATCTGATCATTTATTTCCTATGTATCTATATCACTAATATAACCATAGATAAATGGCTAATTCATTTACTTACCAACGTTATAATTTGCTCGCAATGAAAATACCAGAAGGATAACAAAAATCGAGCTAAAAAGTTTCATCTTCCTTGTCAAGCAAAGTGTTCTTTAATAGCAAAGGTTGTGATGTCTCATATATATATATATCAGACATTTAAAAGGCAGAAACATGTTTACTACTATCAAAGCTGCCAAACTAGGCAAATACGGATCTAATTTAATTACTTCCGGTATTTAAATATACTTGTTGTATAAGTAAACGTCTATACTAGTTGTACACCATCCTACATTGATATGATTCTTTTTTAACCTGATATCTCTTTTCATATAAATGTATTTCTGGTGTTTTTGATGGAGTACATTTCTGTAATTTAATTCGAATTTAATTTTACAATAACAGTTGCTCTATCTTATGTTCCGAATCCATTGAGAATAAAGTATGGAGAGTCCAAATAAACCTACCTTACATGATTACTAGAAATTGTCTATACAGTTTTTATGTAAATTTTACGACATTAAGTTTAATTAACACCAAGGATAGTCTATCACATTATCAAACTATTTGAATCCTTAATCAAAAGATGAAGCTCAATTAATGAATTTATGCTATAATGGTGGTTAGAATATGTCACCTATTTGATATTTTCTCTTACAAATGTATTGAATAGTACAAATCACACATCTTGAATCCTGTTAGCAACTGCAATGCAAAAATATAAGAAAACTTTTAACCATAAGCAATATTCAGGTATCTGTTTAGAATATGAATATTGCCAAGGTTCCGTATTTAATATCAACAACGAACAAACACTGGTTCATGGAATTCATCTATATCTTTAGTGGAAGAGGTATCACCAACGACACTTGATGATTATTATGCCATACAGCAAATACATTGAATCCGGATTTACTTATCTACAAGTGATGCTTTGTTTGTAAAACTTGGGACTTTGAACTCGATTTTGCGTTTGGTTGCAATGGTTTTAAGTAAAAACAAATCAGAGGTTCAATATTTCTCTGATGAATAACTATTTGCGTCAACATTGGTTTCAAAGGTAGATAGCAGGTAATTAATTTCTTTAAAAATGAAAGTCAAGATTTCCGGATAAGTAGTTTAAAGCCTCCATCTGTTATGGATGCTGAGGAAAAATATACCAATAATTATCGTGTTAAGTCTATGGTGGCCTTGGAACTTAAATGTACATTTCCCATTGGTCGATGTTTGTTTCACTTGTTAAATATTGTGTAAATGTTGTTTTCTATTTTATGGTACGATGTGGTTTGTTTGGTTAGTATATAAATAGAGTATGTCTGAGATACAATGATTCATAACTCGGAGGCTGTGACTTGTGTTCTGGACTCAACTGGCTGGGCTAGACAGGAAAGCGGGACCAATCGGGACTCTATGTCGTCCTTACGTGTTTTACGTGTCACTGTAATTGATCGATAAAACGCTGCTTATCAAAACCTGCAGTCACACACGTTACAACACCATCATTTCTTGAAAATAACATTAATGATATACTAGGATTAAACTGAAGCTAATTGTTTACATACAGCTCCTTTAATTTGATCTTCATAAACCAAGTAATGAAGATTGAATTAGGTTTTCCATTTCTTTACATCTTTATAGAGTTTTCAGGTTATTCAGATTCTAAATTTAGATCACTAATACTTTTGCGGCCGAATCGAAATACTTAATATATGTATGCTTTTTGTGATACCTTACGTAATCTTGAAAAATATGAGTCTTTGTTTTAACTATGATATCTGTGACAGATTATTTCAAAGATAACTCAAATAAACAATTTCTTTTATTGCTTATTTGACGCCTGTTTTTATAGGATCAACTTTGGCATTCTTATTTACCTTCAACCCAATTGTTCACCTTATTCTTTAAATTACAAACATTTTTGAACAGTTTTTTTTGTGGTATTCATCTTAAGTGTATTTTACTGACATATAGTCACTCATAAATACTTGATTCAATATCAATCATTATATATCTTCAAGCATATAGACCCATTACAGTAACTTGGTAAACGCAAGAACAAATAAATCTAAGTGATTTATCAAATACAAGTTTGTGCAAATTAGGACTAATCATACTGCGCTGCCGCCTAAACGAAAGTAAATAAACTGAGGTCCCAATCTACGACCTACCAGTTAAAAGCCAAATACTTCCCAACTAAAATGTTTATATTTCATGATCCAGACATAAAATATTGTCATATTAAATAACCCTTTTCTTTAGGTATTAATAATTATCTCAAAATACGCAAGCTATTTAGGGCATAGAGTTCATGATACTTAATATTATTTCCTATCATAATATTTATGTAAATAATTCAATTTAGAATAATACATTAGAAAACAGGGAGCAAGTCTACAAAACCTCCAGTCTTTCATAAATGCTCTAAGTCTTGATTCTTTAGATCACCTATTTTTATATATTGAATTATGGAAGGAAAACATTTCCGAGATTTGTTCTCTCGAATGTTTCTAAATATTCATGAAAACATAAATCTCATCCATTGTTTCTCCTTTGAGACAAGCCCTAACTTGGAGTCCTGAAGGGAAGCGGAAAAAAGGAAGAACAAAAACACATTACGTCGAGAAATAGAAGCAGATATAAAAAGGATGAATCATAACTGGAAAGAGCTGGAAAGGATTACCCAGGATAGGGTTGGATGAAGAATGCTGATGAGTGGCCTATGCTCCTTCACGAAGATTAACAGGCGTAAGTAAGTAAGTAAGTAATTTTTTCTTTCATAAGTCGGATCATATTTTTGTTTCAATGTTGCTAAAAATGAGATAACAATGTAAAATTTCATTGACTATTCATTCATCATATTCAAATTCTCAATAAATTTTATGAAAAACACATTCAAATTATTTACGAACAACATTTAAAATTCCTTAATTGATTATAAATGTCCCCAGTTTAATAATGATGTTTTTCATTTGTACACTTTCCCAAAGTACATTTGTGTGAACAACAATTTTTATCCGATATACAAAGAGTACCCCCTTTTAAGCATTTGACACATTTCCCATGAAATGGTGAAGTTAAATGACATACTGTATCACCACAACATCTGTCAAATACAGTTTTACTACATTTCTCTCCAATTGCACGACACCCTGAAATTGATATAAAAGTACATTGAAATTAAAGATTTAATCTTTTATTTTCTTGTCAATATGATAAAATGTAAAGGATTAAGACAAATGTCAATGGTAGCAATTATTGATTAAAGTTTAATATAACACTTTATTGAAACTAATGCCTAGTCAACTGTTTAAATGTCTTGAGTCCGATCGCAGTATGAATTGTGAAATCTTCGCTAGTCACTGCCGTTATGGAAATAATAAATCTGTTTTTAAAAATATTTCTCAAGTTTCAACTACTTCGTTTTAAAGTTTAAACGTTAACGCAAAGTTATTTGGTTAAGAAACTTGGAGAAAACTGATCATCGTTTTCACCAATTACACAATTTGAATGATAAGTATTCGGTCACCTAAAATTTGTTGAATTCTATCAGGTTTAAACGAATTAAAAAGTTCCTAGCAAGGTAGATAATCACTCGTAATCTAAATAGTTGCGTTCCTACGGACCTGTCACAATGCTCAATGTTCGAAGTGTAAAAACCTTGACTGGATAAAAAACCTAGATCCTAGTTTCAGTTCCTAAGCAACTAGATTAATCAAATAGATGAAGAGCATTTTGTAATTAAGTTATGGTTCTGTTTTACCCTTTCATTGTCAGTGAATATTGTTATACACAGGTTCAAAATATTAGGCCGGTTGGAGGTAGATGACATGACGCACTTATAGATAAGATATAATTAGTACAAAAGTCCTAGAGAAACATAACATTAGTAACTTATGTGTGATTGATCAGTGATAAACAAATTTGTATACCTGATTAGTTAATTTAAGGGGCACAGTTAGTTACAACACTATTTCGTAATTCAAAGCCATAGTGACGTGCTACTAATTTCTGATTATTTCCCAAATCATTTCCTCATATCTCTCGGATTACTATCATATATTTATGTGCTGAATTCCCATTCATTTCTCCTGGTTTTCGTGCTTTTACATACATACAGTCTTTTGATAGCCAAATTTTGGGATAAGTTAGGTTAATTACCGGAACTAATTAAAAACAGAAATGGAAGTAAAGAGACACTTGAAAAATACTTTTATTCTGATTCTACGCCTTTCAGAATAAATTGTTCATAGCGGAACGTTCATATTTCAAGACTCCAAATCTGATGGATAATATACTTTCAGTCCGATATTTTTTGACAATTTACTAACCCTACTCTTTTCTGATTCCTCTATCTACAAACAAATCGTCCTTTTTGTAGATATACTCAATATCAAAATGTATGTATATTATCAAACTAAACGTTCATTAAACTTAAACATGATAATTGTTTCTATGAAAATGAATTCCACTTTAATATAATGTGGCAATAACTTAAGCTGTTTCAACTAAAGTATGCTATTGATTGAATGTATTCTATAGGACGAACTGATATCAGCTTGACGATGACGTTTTTACAATTGATTGATCACTCAGTAGTGACCAAGATAACTTGTGTCAAGTTTTTCTTAGTACTAGTCTACTTGTGGATACATAAGGTCAGTTGCCAACCTAATGGCTTTGTGGTAACGTCTCAAACTGGGAATTTGAATGTCATAGGATTGAATTCGTCAAGGAGCATCAATTCCTTCAAAATTACAAATACGCTTTGCTGATGAATGCCAGTTAGCATAAAACCTAGATACAAGAAGATAACTATCAGTTACCTATAAGTTATGTCATTTCTTGATAAAAAGTAACTATCAGTTGACTAACTTTAAAAAAATTAATAATAATAAAATATCAGATGGGTTTTGTGGATATTATAGTAATTTCAATGGTTAAGATCATGATTCAGTTGAAGCTAGTGCTCGTGAGCGAAACCAATAGGTCCTGGGTTCCAATCTCGCAAGGGGCGAGGTCGTGGATGCGCACAGCTGAGGAGTCCCACAATAGGACGAGACGGCCGTCCAGTGCTTCCAGGTTTTCCATGGTGGTCTAGCTTCAACTGACTCATGATGTTAACCACTGAAATAATAAAATAGTGTACAACTTCTCACCTTTTCCATGAATGTTCTCCAACAATAATGTCAAAATGATTGTAATAAATAAAATTGATACTTTCAACATATTGTTTATTAAATGTTTGTTTTGGTACAACGAAAAATCTCCATACGTCAACGATATATATATATATATAAACCTGTTGACTAACCCAAAAAGGGGTGCCCATTTCATCTATTTTACAGTTATTATTTTAGATAACATACAATTAGAATAAAATGCTTTCCTATGATTATTTGAACTATATAACGACAGTATTATTTATTTACTTAATTGCCAACAATTAAGTTTTATCTGACCCTAACTAATTACCGGAAATAAGCATAAAACTAATTGTTTCTTATAAATGTTTACTAATAGATGTTATTTTTCTATTTATATTAACTATCTATTTAGTTTCAAGTTGATTTGTGCGTTTGAAGTTTTAATCTGTCAATGACTCAAGAAGGTTTATTTATATAACTGTGAATATTCATAAAGTTCTTTCTATGAACTTTGTTTATTCGATCTATTAAGGTTCATCAATAAAATTTATTCGGAACCTTTTAGTGATTTTTCATTTTTCCTTGAGTCCTAACAGCTGTCTACTCAAAATACTTCGAATCCGTTGGCCAGACACTATCAACAACAACCTACTGTGGAAGAGAACAAACCAGATCCCAGCGGAGGAAGAAATCAGGAAGAAGCACTGAAAGTGTATATATATATATATATGCATTCAAACATGATGTAATCATTTAAGCAATTAAGTCAGTCTATGATTTGATATAATTACAACACAATGTTGAATAAATTTAAAAGTTGCATTTTTTAAATTTATTTGAATAATAATTTATTAGGTATTAAAACAAATTGCTGTTGTTGTTTTGAAAACATTCCTTATAGTAATTGGTTGTATCTAGGTGTACTTGTATTAATTCTCAAGTAACTATTATTATTATTATTGAAATCACGTAGTGATAATAAGCAATCGTCCTGTAAATTAGTTAACCAAAATTCTTGAATTGTAATGACTTAGTAGGAATTGAAGATAGTTCACCTTGGTATTTAGTGATCGACAGTTAGAATTTAACAGTTCGGGAATCGACATATTGCATATTGCCAACGACAACGATGTCTCTTATTGTATTTTTTTGTAACTTGTGCAGCGAAATGCCATAAGCTTTTCATAAACGTGCCTGTATATGTTATGCGATTAGTAGATACAATGTGTTAAAACAAAAAAATTTTTAAAAACATAACTTTTTGAAATATTTAGATGTTAGAAACAGGTAGCCCAAATAATCAAGCAGGCCACCGATTCAATTTAATATGCTAACTATATCTATTTAATAGGAAAACCTTAAAAGAACCTGCGGTATTAGTAGTGATGACAATAATAATAATAATAATAATAATAATAATAATAATAATAATAATAATAATAAACGAACATCATTTGGTGATTTTTTTATTCAGCTCCTTCATCGAGACATTGAATAGGTTGTCTGCTTAAAACTAGCGAATTAAATTTCATTAACTATGAAGCAAAAATCACTGTTTTTTAAGCTCTCTCGCTGACTATAGAATACGTCCGTGAATAGAAGCCAACAATCTGTTTCACAACATGTTGAAATGTTATTTTATGCAATTAGTTTCTAGGTTAAGTAAAATGCTTAACAAAATTTGATTCTTTAAATAGTAGCAGAAATTATGTTTAAAATATGAAGTCACTCACAGGGTGGTTGATTCTTTTCGATACGTAGTTATCTTGATAGGTTACCAAAACTCTTCATAATTATAACGCTTTCTCAACAGATATCATTTAGAGACTATGTATTCGTAATCGATCTTTTTGGAATGCTATCTTTCCTATAGTTACAGAGTTTTCAGATGAAACATCTTTCAGGTGTAATTAGCAAATAACTAATTATGGTATTATTTAAGTAGGACAATACGCACCGGATTCCCAAATAATTTTTTCATCGAAAAATTTCAGTACAGTCAGTTATTATGAAGTAACCTTTATGTTCAATGAATAAATATAAAAGGCCGAATTTGCAATATTTGATGCGGTTCTATATAGTATATATTTCTAATTGCCAATAAATTCTTGGTAAATCCGAACTACATTACTTTTAAAATATAAGGTAATATAGTGAAGGTTGATTTAAAAAGTCCTGAAAGCATTTCTGACTACTCATAAGTAGCTGAAATTAAATTGATTTTATTTGATCAATTAGATAAGATTAATGAAATTTATAAAATAGCATAAGTTGAAAAACATTGAATAACGTTCTCATCACAGTTTCTAATTTTTTTATGCCTGATCGAACTTTATTCATTCCTTGATAAAACCTATCCAAATGAACCAGATCCTTCGCAAACCATGTTATGAATAGTGTTTATTTCTAGAAATAATAACGTTATTTGATATTAAAGGTGTAGAGAAAATGTCTGTACACAGAAAACCTATACACCAAAGTCCTTATGGTCAGTAAGTAGTATATGTAGCTTAAAATTTATCTCTACTAAGTAGATAGGGATACAACAGTTGTTTATATTTCCGATACAACTTAGATTTTTTAGATATACACTTCTGGTATTTAAAACATTCTGCATGATCTCTACCACCCAGAATACTGAAATATATAACCAGGAGATAACTAATAGCTGCCTAAAGGCTTTTCCGAGTTGAAAATACTACTTAACAGGATTATTAGTGTTGCGTCAATGTTGTTTTCTGACTTCATTGTTTATATCATAGTATACTAACGATAACAATAAGTTTATAATTGTTCACCCATATTTTAAGGATTTAATAGATGTTTTCAATTGTTCATAACTAAAATTTAAACTTTTTTCCACTAACTATATAGTTGAATAATTGCAAATCTACTATCCAGATGGAACCAATTAAACACAATATCTGAGTAGTTTGCAAGGTTCCATAGTGGTCTAGCTTCAATTGACTCATGACTTCAACTATTGAAGTTACTGATTTTACCTAGTAACAGATTGTTCACAGTTTTAACACTCTTATTATAAACTTACCTTAATGTTTGTAAATAAACTGTCAACTGACAGATAACCAATGTCAATGGTTAAGATCATGAGTCAGTTAAAGCTAGACCACCATGAAACCTGGAAGCACCGGACGGCCGTCTCGTCCTATTGTGGGACTCCTCAGCTGTGCGCTTCCACGACCTCGCCCCTTGCGAGATTGGAACCCAGGACCTACTGGTTTCGCGCGCGAGCACTTAATCACTAGACCACTGATCCGGCCGCCATCCAACGGTGTTAATGTCTGACTTCAACTAATCCAATTGTTACATATTGATTTTATGTTCAATTATTATACCTAGATAACTTTTTATAAGCAAGAGGTAGAGTTAATGAGTGACATTTAATCTCCAAATGTTTTGTATTCCTAAGTAATCCTTCCCCTGGTTCTCTCACACAAAGGATTTTTTACAGTGATTGAATCAATTCACTGAAAAATTCTATCGAGAAAGGTTTTTGTAGAAATTCACGATGCTACTTACTACTTTGTGAGTAGTTTATATCGTGTAGAAAAATCGTTAGCTTTTTATGAATGTAATCGGTTTATTAAATATGTCGAACAACCATCCCTTCCCTAATGACTATTATTCACCGTGTTTCTCATCTATATTTATTAACGATCAACTCATAACCTAGAGCTGATTAGATTATCTTTCCTACACTTGCCTAGTTAACTAAGTTGCGTTAATTTTGAAAACGAGTAGAATTAGTTTCTTAATAGTTTGAGGCATTTATCGAGCACCCCTTATGTTTTGCATCATGCTTGTCGACGCTAATGAGTAGCGATGAAACACAGATATTTTGCTACTGTATTTATGAACTCTAAACTTTCATTAATCTATAAGATATTTTACACACAATTATATGATGTATCTACGGCTCAGTATTCTTAACTTGACACTCGACCGATAAGTAATCAGTTTAAACTTGTCTCAGTAGCAATGTTTTGTACTAGCAAGTAGCTCTGCAAAGTCTTTATCACTTTATCTGGTCCAGGTTTGTGAAGTGGGATTTACACATCAGTATAACGCCTTATATCATCTGATGAATTGGATCATGTCAATTTGGGACTTAGAACTTTAATCAGATCATCAGTCAATTGAAGCTAGACTACCATGGAAAACTTGGAAGGACTGGACAGTCATTTCATTCTATTGTGGGACTCCTAAACAGTGCGCATCCACGATCCTGCCTCGCGAGGTTCAAACCCAGGACCTATCAGTCTCGCACGTGAGCGCTTAACCATTAGACCACTGATCCCGGCCGGCATCCAATGGTGTTAATGTCCAACTTCAACTAATCCACGAAATTGAGCAACGCATCCACAATTGTCTTCAGTGTGTTACTATTGTTGATTATAAAAAGACAAAATGCCTTTTACAATTCATATTATTGATCATTGTTTATATACACTTTTTTCTATTAACAATGAGTAAGCAGATGAATTTAAAATACAGAAAATGTGGTTTATACAGTTATCCTGAAAAAATAATAATAATATTCCAGCAATGTTTATACGAATGAAAAAGAAAAGAAACCACATATACATAATTTAATCATGCATAAAAATGAATAAATGAATGATAATGAAGTAAATGACCTTCTAGTTAGTTACTTTCTAGTGATTGGTCTCTTTCTTATTTCTCTTGATAGACAATGAAAATGAAAGTTTATATTCATATTTCAATATGGCCTATTTATCATTTGATCTTTTTAAAAAAGTTATTCGTTGCAATTACATAAGTTTGTTTTCATAAACATATTAAAAAGGAAAATAGAAGAAATTGAACATCTTCTTGTATTCTAAATGCCTATACTTTAAGTATTCGATAAATGTAAAATATAAATACATTGAACATAAAAATATAAAGTGTTGTTGAAACAGTTAATAGTGTACTTGAATTACATCCATTTTTATTGTTACAATTACAATATCGAACTTTAACACGATATGTACCCAAACGATCTATACACCAACGACCATCTTCTGCACCAATCACACCAGTTACAGCACAATCTCTATAATAACGTCTAGTCCATTTTCCATCTAGATACACTGTATAAATAAATGGGTAGGAATTTTTTATATGAACAACTGCAGTATTATTTAGATATTAATGAAGTGATGCTGAGCAAAGACTCAATATATTAAGTAAAAATTACAAATCGATTGATAAGGTAGTGAATATTTATCAACTGAGGTAGTTTAGACATGCTTTATGTGTCTCCAGCCAAGTTCTATCTCAATATGTGATGTTTCCTGATGTGAGAATGGGTTTGAAAAGTCAGAATCAACGCATGGTATCAGTCTATAAAATTACTGACTGTCGGGCTGAACTATGTAAGCGAGTACAAACTAATTAGTTGAGGTGCGCTAGGTTATTTTGGCCCATTTCTTGAAAACAATGGGTTAAATGGCTCGAAATTGGTCTGAGTGGTACACACTAACTCTGTTTTTTCTTCTTAACATACCCATACCTTTTATCTCCTAGTATCATTCTTTCCTCTAGAGTAATTTCTCCCATACTTTATATTTCCACTATTACTGATACTGTTAATACTTCTATCTCTCTCTGCCGATATGCTATGGCGATTTTAATCAACACATATATGTGCCAGGCTACCGGAGTGCTTTGAATCGATTCCTCACCAAATCTTGAAAGTTAGTATAACAAAAGATAAATAGATATTTATATTGTCATTAAGGCACTGAGAGATATCTATGATGTAAAACTACATTTCCACACATAACAACCTGTAATCGATGCAGTCTATGGTTTACGAATAAACAATTAATGTTAGTGATGCAATCCAGCGAATACTAGTGAAATGGCGAGTAAACTTCTAACATTGAAAGTAAATTGTGATGTGTTATATACAAACATGGTTTAATGACTCAATTTCCTAGCAATACTACTCCAAGACAGAACACTGATTATATATAAGCTTCTTAGTTAACTAGTACCCTACTCGTAGTATTAAAAGATTGAAAGTAATCGATCCTTGTTATGAAGTACTGACGAGTCAGCTCACTTTTTTAAAACACCAGTGCTTTGAGCGTCCTCATTTATCAGGTATTCGATGACAGATAAACACACTAGGGTAGTTGTTATACAGTTCGCAAATACTCATATTCATCAAAACATACGGGCGCTTGGTACTGGTTTATTAAACTACAAGGAAATCCTTCACTACAATGAAACTGATTATTTTCCCTAATACTTTATTGACTTTATTCAACATTATATTTTTAATACAATATAGAATTCTCAGCAGAAACGAACGACTGAGGATCTTTCTGGAGTGTACTCTTGCAACGCATCTATAAACGTAATGTTACGAAAATTAGTCTATCAAAAAGAACCATTTTAACTGAGTCAGTGGTACAGAGGAATAGTCATATAACTCAGTACAATATTTACATTTGTGTGCTGTGTAAATTTAATCTTATGCTATTGCAGAGTGTGCTTGTATATTAGGTCGTTAATTTTTTAAATGTTGAGTGTTACTTACTTCGAATCATTCATATTTGAATGAGAATCAATGCAAATAAATCATATTAAACTTTGTTTGTTCAAGTATAGTTTGGATCTGTTTTTGATGCATAATAAGCACTTATCTATGGTTTCCCCTTTCTTTCTTAGCATCAAAATATATCAGCGTTTTGTTTACTTATAAAAATATTAAGATGACTAGTCTATTGTTGGAACGAAAAATTATACGTAGTTGCAAAAGCAATAGACAGGCTAATGACAAGAGGATTGAAGTGATTTTAGTCATTTTATGAGATCCATTAATCTATCACCTCCATACCAGTTTTGTCCACTATCCTATGAATCATTTTATATTTGTGGCATCCAAATAATAATAAGTATACAGTAAATATATGTGGTTTCTGCCCCACTAGTGCACTATCCTTTATCCGTCTTTGATGTGAAATTTTTGTAAGAAACAAACTGTGTTCGGCACAAGAAACTCACAAGACCGTCACAAAAATGCCTAATATATGGAACCAAAGCCCATAAAAACACTAAACCGAGTTGGAGGGTATAAACTACACTCATAGCTGTCATTAACAGCAACGAATGCCTAACACTATATTGGTATTTGCAGTATGTTGACTAGTTTCTATTCAAAAGATGATATGGCTACCATAAACATAAGATCTAAGGCATATAAAAACTGTGGTACACGACCCAATAGGGTAGTGTTGTTTACATATTTATTTAATCGCTACAGAATTATTATTGGCTCAACACGGTGAGCTTAAAAGTCCACATGAATATTATGAACTCAATTAGTTGGTTTCTTTTATGCATTGTATGAGCTTGCACCTCCGAAACAACTATTTTAGATATTTTGTGTTGAAGTAAGCCGCAAATCTCTTAGTAGTAAAGAAACGTTTTCTAACATTTTATCGACTTGCTTCATAAATTCACATCTGAGTCAATGTTTTCCTAAGTAAATAACGTATATCACGGAACTAATGGCAACAGTAACTAAAAAAGTGTAGGTGATCTATGAGTTTCCGTGAGACCAATGTCTTATATCTATGGCAAATATTGAGCTAAGCTGAATGCGATTACCGGAACCCCTCTCAAGCTTACGAATGGCTGAAACTTTTCGTAGTCATAATTTCAGGTTTTCGATTTTGAGTAACATTTAAAGTAAAAACAAAACCAATATGTTAGTGGAGATTCGATTGAAAAAGAGAGGTAATAATTATCCTATGTAAAATCAGTAATAAAACAGATTGTTCTGTTTAAATATGCCGAACTAGTGAATTACTACAAAGCTCATACAATGAACCTGAATTAAAGATTTTGAAGGCAAATTAGCCTTAATTGCTTGATGCATCAAACCAAGTGTTTTCCTAAAAAATAGCCTAAAACTATCTGCTAGTCGATTTGTTATTTGTTACAAATTCGAACCAGATGGGTAAATGTAGTTGAATCAACATCCTTAGAATTAGCTATAATAAAATTACTTTAATAGGGTTGATGCTGGTAACCATGTTATATTTTGAACATATATCAGAATAGTTTTGATATTCCAGGGAGCAATAGCAAATCAATATTAAGGCGACAAAAATGTCCCAAAGAATTTAAATACAATCTTGAATACCGTGAGTCATTAACCCAAAACGTAATGCTTTAAGACATTATGACAAGTCAACTTTTGAGCGATAAAGGCAAATTTCGGAAAACATTAGCAAGGTCGTTTTAAGCTAACTCAAGATTGTCAGTATTTTAGCTGAGTATTAGACACTGTTCGCAACAAATTATAATGTAGTTGACTGGGAAAGAATGCAGTGCAAAACGGAAAAAAATAGTCTAATGAATTGCTATGTTTGACGACACAGCTAATTATATATTTTTTCAAAGAAACTAAGTATGTGAAAACCCATTGAATGTTTTACAAATGTCGCATCGTAATTCGCTATTTTTACCATCATTGTGTACGAAAAACATATAATACCCTAGAAAATTACCGAAATTTCGACGAAATCACTACCAAATTTATTTGTTCGTAGAATCCCTTAAACTAGCACTTGATTTACGGAATACGAATTCAATTCAGGTGAACCAAGATGAAAACAACCATAACTTGTGTACTCACTTTCCTGAATCATCTTGACACACCTAGAATAATTTCTTCCATCATTTGGACAGGCAACTAGTGGAAAAGTTCGATTATCAAAATAGTCTGCACAGTGCGGTTGTGTTAGTGAATTACATTGATAACAACGAAGTTCTGGTCCAATACCTAATACCATGCATTAAATTAGGAAAACGATTAACGATGGACACCCCACCTACTTGGCATACACCTGCCGAAGTCATTATTACAACTAAAACTAATCGCAGCATCATTTCCGGGATCTGAATATGTGCCATTTACAACAAACTACACAAATAGCCTACTAAAACAAACGCCGTAAGACGCTCTTACAATCACTCCAGTCTTTTAACCATCAAGTGATGTAGGTGTATGTAGAAAGATAAGGTTAAAAGATCACTACTTTGTTGGATATAATTCTACACGTCAGGATCAGATGACAATAATGCCAGTTTCTTTCATATGTTTACAGGGAATGCAACTGCGAAGATATGAGACAAATTAATTTGATATCAATGTCAAAAATACAGAACGCTCAAATGTCTTTGTTAGTGATAAAAAGGATGGATTAATAATACTTTTCTTTTTGCGGTATCCTGCGTTATATCATGTACTCGTTTCGCAACCAAAAGAGAGAAGCAGAATTACAGTTCTTTCTGTGCAGTTACAAGTAACCACTTCCAGTGAGTCAGAAGCAAAAATCAATGCGTGGAAAGGAAATCACATAGTTAGGAGAAAGTCGAGTGCCTGTTTGCATGTACTCAATGAAAAATTTCACTACCATACATCAATTTATACTGGACATCGCGTACCGTAAGCCGATACGGCTTCGTTTGAATGTATCGGCATAAGTAGATCCAGCCACCTGTTGATGCAAAGAAATTCACCTGTTGGTCACTAGAAGGGAGGGCTGGTAGTCAAATGACACAACATTCATTTTGGGCTTATCAACATTGCGGAATGTACTTGATGTATGGGCGAGAATGATAATGATCGGTTGTCTGCTTGTTCGGACATGTAGATGGTCCGAAAGGTGTCGGATGAGCTATATATTCTTTTATCCTCATCATTACTACTACTCATTTATTATTGATTGTTCATTGTTATTGGATTGTGCCGGGTTTTTGGCTTGGAAATATATTTACGTTATAGTCAGGCTAATTACGTGTTCTTGGTCTGAGTTGTGTTGAAGTCCTGTAGAATAGACACTGGTGTAGGGCCAGTGAAATGTCACTGAGCCCTAGCCAAATCATCCGTAAGTTGGATCACTGAATGTCGAACAGATCATCGCTTCCTGCCAAGGTCATGTACAACCAACGCGCATTAGTTAATCGTATGCCATGGACTGGCCCATGCGGCAGTGGTCTTGCTTTCGCTTGTATCTACTTTAACTAATATATTTCTGTAATAACGTCCTTTGTGTTGTACAGTCTTCAAAGTATCTATAGTACCTTGATACGTCAATGGGGTAGTCCACCTAAGGTGCTAACCACGAGGTGTGACTTCGACGTTAGTTGGTTCGTCACACCATTCACGTCTAACTCGAGTAGGCCTCTAATCATTTCCACATAGATCATCTAATTTGGTGATCTACACTGGGAAAGAATCTGATGTAGGTAATCGTTTAAGGTAAATTAACGTTCCATACGTGGAAACGTGGAAACCAAACTATTATAACAATAGACGAAGTAAAACCGAAAGTTATAACAGTGCTTGTTATAACGTATGTGACTGCAGGTTTTGATAAGCAGCGTTTTACCGATCGAATCTGTGACAGTGACACGTAAAACACGTAAGGACGACCTAGAGTCCCGATCGGTCCCGCTTTCCTGTCTAGCCCAGCCAGTTGAGTCCAGAACACAAGTCACAGCCTCTGAGTTATAAATCATTGTATCTCAGACATACTCTATTTATATACTAACCAAACAAACCACATCGTACCATAAAATAGAAAACAACATTTACACAATATTTAACAAGTGAAGCAAACATCGACCAATGGGAAATGTCCATTTAACGTTCAAGGACACCATTCGACTTAACACGATAATTATTGGCATATTCCTCTGCATACCTAACAGTATTCATAACGTTTCTGTCCTGAAGAGAAGAGATATTAATGTGTTAAAACACTATTCACGCGTTTGAAGATTGTAGTTAGGTCGCCTTGAGTACTATAATATGAAAAGTGGTACGGATTTGATCTAACCGGACTTCTCCTATTGGCATCTTTGAGATCCTTGGAATCTAATCAGAAGGACCACTGTAAATTTAAATATGTGGCGGCAGTCGAATAACGTTGATTGTCAAACACATAACTTCCCATTCTTTCCGTAGTGAACTAATTTTCATCTCCTTTTTTACGATTATCGACTTGTGATCATCTGAATATTCATTTAGTTGGTCTTTATTATTTTTCATTTAGAGCCCCATGACAAGCCTATATGTGACAAGAAGTTCGAAATATACCACATAATTTCAGATAAACGTCCCATTGTCTTATCAGGATTTCATAGGAGACCCATACAAACAGTTTCAAGTGATCAAAACCAAAACTTCAGTGAAAATTAGATACCGTGCATTATCAAAAAACTTTTGTTACGACCCAGTATTATTCCTTCATAATTAAGAACTAGCTATCACTGAAAGATTAATTTATTGTATTCCGTATTTACTAGACAAGCTATCACTTCTCATTTCCATGTCAACTTTATCTTAAGAGTCTCGAAACCATTAGACTTCAACAAAACCAAATTTCTATGTTTTATATTTGCAATCAGTTTAAGACATTATGCTACTCTGTAATCTCAATTTGGGTTAATAATTTCACCTTATCTGTACTATATTGGTAAGTAAATCCCTAAAATTAATAACTTTGTAAATCTTCAACAGTCGGTGCTGACCGCATTAGTTTTACTGGACTCACCAAACTGAAGGCTCTCGGTCACGAATTCGCACCACATCACAACTGGGTACGCCCTGCTACGCATCTCTTTCAACTACTAGCCAGCTTAAACCAAAAGTTCCTTGACATACCAATAGCTCTCTAAATATATCTTCTTCTTGGTATACTTCGTATATAAAGATTTTAGCGATTGTCAACTCCGAATACTTGTGGCATCTTTAGTACCTGTGTGATACTTTAAAAACACTTCATCCAATTTTATGAGTAATGAAATACTGGTCTGTTTAATTACAGGCTGATTTACATCACTCAACTACAAATACGAATGTACAGATCCAGTGAATAATATAACTGAGAAAAATATTCTTTGTTAAACTACCTTTAGTTCATCTTTAATGATACGATGGGCTACTTCTGTTCCAAAGCTATCAGAATAACGATGCCAGAAATCTTCAAAGTTTGACAGCTGTTTTACTATTAGCACCTGCATAATCGAAGGATGCAAACCCGGTCAAATCAGAGGTCACCAGTGAAGGAGTTCGGAGATATATTTGGAGAGTTACTAATACGTCGTAAAGCGTTCGATCTGAGATGATAAGTGGTTGCAAGAAATGAGCAGCATGGCCTACTCGTGATCTAGTGTGCATGCGTGATCGAGCGCTTCCAGCCTCAATCTTAAAGACCTACTGAACAATTTATATTAGACATTTATTCACCACTAAAACATTGATGACATTTTTTTTCAAAAAATTGGATGCGATTATGTTAGTGTTGGTAGTGTGCATCCCGTTTTCTTGACCATGTGTAGATTAAGCATCTTTCACTAACATCCATTAAAACAGACTAAACTATGAAAACCTGGAATACCGTTAAAAATCAGTATAAATTTGCCTGGAAAATCACTCGAAATACTAGGTGAAATCACTGGAGAACTATTCTTTCAAAATACTCAAATATTTTTTCATCTTCGTACTCAGATGGTGGGAATATAAAGTGGCGGCTGTTTTGTCAATTGTGCTTCACACTGATTGACTATGATTGGTGTAAGCAATATTACTAATAGGACGGACCCAAACAGTCTCAAGTCGCGTGTTTTCGTTGGAAATCTTAATACAGTGCACATGACAAAAACAGAACTTGAATCTATTTTTTCGAAATATGGAGCAGTCGTGGGAATATCAGTACACAAAGGATATGCGTTCATTCAATACGCAAATGAGACTAATGCACGAGCCGCAGTTATTGGTGAAGATTCAAAAACCTATTACAATATGGTTTTAGGTAAGACATTTTAAAACTCGGTGTTTTCATTTTTACTGGTTTTCACCCCTATCTCGAATTTTCACTCCACTAACAAGTTTTATTAGTAATAATCCCATCTCATTGCCTGATTTTCCTATCACAGATGTAACCATAGCATCCGAACCGAAAAACCGCAAGCGGGGGAGATCGAATATTGGTTCGTCGCTTCCATCCTGGTAATTTGCTTTCCCTATATAATAATCGAGTAATTCCTCTTTCTAGGAACCCCTTGACAAGGTATGACTTAGTTTTGTTGTTTCGTGAGTCTCTAGTTTCCTTCGAAACTTTTTTCAGTTTTGCTTTGGATTCACTGTTATAGTTATTTATAATCAAACCTAATTGGGTATTTCTATTGGCTTCAGATTATCGAGTATATTTAAATATAATATCACTGAATAATCGTCTATGCAACTCGTCGTCGACACGTGGCTTTAGATATTGTGGTTCCCACTTGTCAGCTTGTTAATTATGATCGCTTGTTGACAAAGTTAGAAACGATATCGGACGCTGCTACTGATGTAGAGTAATAAATACAAAGTTTCATTCAGAACCACACCCAGAACTTTACACAACTCGACAAGTTTCGAAAATCAACCACCAGAAAATATTTGTTTATACTAAACCATCACCCCCTTGACATGGAGGCAGGCTGTATAAAATAGGTTGTAAACAAATGTATAAATTGATTCTTCTATGTCATCAGCTCTTGATAATTCCTAAGTCGGAGTGCAAGGACTTTTTGAGTGAGTTCTGCAAGATAATCCTAACATACTGTTTCGCACTTCAAGTAGTATCGATCTCAGTCTTTTACTGACTATTTACCAATAAAAACTAGCTCGGCGGATCTTGTAAGTCTGTCTCTAAACATTACCGTACTTTTAATCGACTTCAATTGTTTATACGATGAGTTGGAGGGCAAACTGTTAGTCTATTTTGTGATTATTTTCAGGGTATGTCCATATTACCCTTCTAGCAATAATAGTAATACAGACTTGGTTGCATGAATGAACACTTTTCTACGCTTCACTGAGGTGGCCATTTATTAACTATTGTTCATTAAAAACATTTA